TAGAATAAATTTGCAAAAGTCCCCAGTGTGCACAAGACAAGTACAAGAATGAAACAACACACAAACTCTGGGAAATTGATAATACGTGTGCAAGATCATTTAAAGTGCTCTGTTCAAACTGATAACAGCTCGTGGAAAGAAGCTGTTAGCAAAGCGAGATGTCCTGCTTCCCTCTATCTTCTGCCAGAGGGAAGAAGCTGGAACATGGCTACACACAACACGTTGTGAAGGCAGACGGGACTGGAACAAGGTGAGAAGTGATTGAGATTTACAGTATCAAGATCGAACATGGAAGAAAACTGTTCATGAGAGCGCTGTGGACATTGAATTAAGATTGACAAGAGGGCGTCAAAGGGATCAGATTTGCAGTTATCACTTGACAGGAACGATGTGAGGACACACAAAAAGCATAACTAAAACTTCTCTGCAGATAAAGGGAAATAGAAAATAACATACCTGGAAATGTAAATAACTATGTAAATAACTTCCCACCTCTGCACCTTCTCCACCGACTCCCACTGATGACTGCTGTCGTTGTGTCCTTGGGCAAGACACTTAACCCCACTTTGCCCAAAGCCCCCACTGAAAGATCAAGGCTATGCTCACACTCAGAGAGCAGCCGTCCTCCTGTGGACTCACCACCTGCAGAGGGTCAGTGAGGGGCTGGTGCTATGAGACTTGGGTGGCATCTCTGACTGCCACCCCCCTGACCCAGAAATGGATTAAAGGGTAGAAAATGGATGGATGGATGGATGGATGGATGCATTGGTTTTGTATAGCACTTTATGAAAGACGCTTCACGTGGCATTATTCATTCTTATCCAGGGTGGTGAGAAAAAAGTACTGTAGCCACAACTGCCCTGGGGCACTCTGACAGAAGCGAGAAACCAGTCTGTGCTATCAGCCCCTCTGACCACCACCAACCATTCACACACACACCAGACTCTTTTTTCGGGAATGAAAAATTAAATGGCTGAAGCGTCTCAGAACACAACAACAGTCTGGCACTTTACAGCCGCAGCCACCCCACTGTGGCACCCGGTGTTCCCAGAGGTCTCCCATCACAGTATTAACCATGCCCTTCCCTGCTTTGCCTTAGAGGTCTGACGGGATCTGGCTTTCATATGCAGCTTGTGTCTTTAGTGAACTTTAGTACTGCTTCTTCTTCATGCTAAAGTTGGAGATTTTAAATTTATTTCCTTATTATGCTAAAGATAAAGATTTTATATTGCTTCTTTTAATGATGGACTTAGAAATTTTATTTTTATTTTATTTTAGTATAGAGTTGTTATTATTGATTTATTTTGCGATGTGTGCTCCTCATTTCCCCACTTTGGGACGAATAAAGAATCTCTTAACCTTAAAAACCTTAATCTCAATCTAGAGCACATTGAAAGCGAAGTTTGAACCATTGTGAGTTTCTTCTGACCCTTGCTCTCCGGTTTGGGGATTGAACACACAAATACAAAAACACACTTCAACATCATACTCCCTTTCCTCGTTTTAGAATTAAACCTGGAGTCCCAAACAACAGCGATGCCACCCTCGTGAAAACATGAGCCTAAATCTGCTCTTTCCAAACTGCCGCTGGCTGGTAACAGGCCCAGAGGGACTACTTCACGGCACAATAACAAGTCCCTGCATCACTACGACCATATGTGCGGACTCTCTGGGGACTCCGCCTCCCCGCCATGCCAGTCTCCTCAGCCCGCTGTCATACTCTGTAAACTGCTCTGACAGCTATATGAGTGAGAACTGATGGATTGGATTAGGATGCATCATTATCTCATTCCATCAGAGAAGCTACAGAGAAAAAATGTGAATTACCGGTGGCAGTATCTCAATCATGCAGAAGAACGGAAAGAAGCAGGAGTTATTGGAGCCGTGAAAAATCTAAAGAAAATCTAAAGGTAGAGAGCAAAGATTTCTGGATGAATATTTGGCGAAGACAGTGAGGTGAAAAGGTTGTTTCATTTACTTTTGCCTCACTTTCTTTCTTTCAACAGAAATATAAGTCATTCACAGAGACATCACGTGGTAATCAAATAGAGTAATATTAAATACATTCTTCCATTTTCTTCCCCTTTATCTGGTGCCGGGTTGGAGGTGCAGCAGTCTGAGCAGAGACACCCAGACTTCTCGATCCAAACACACCTCCTCCAGCTCATCCAGAGGAATCCTGAGGTGTTCCCAGGTCATAGTCCCTCCAAGGTGTTCTTGGTGAGCTCATATAACCCTTCCTCTCGGGAACTCCGCAGAAGAAACTCATTTTGAATCCACAATCTAGTCGAGCTCGGCCTTTACCCGAAGCTCATGACCAGAGATGAGGGAGGGGATGTAGATTGACTGACAAAAAATGAGAACTTTGCTTTTGACTGAGCTCCTTCTTCTCCACAAGAGTCCGATACAGCGACCGCATCACTGCACACGCTGCACCGGTCCCCCGTCAATCTCAGGCTCCTTCCTCCCCTCACTCGTGAACAAGATAGTCAGGATTAATGACTAATACAATTGACGACACTATTTTATTGACCTTTTAGTAACCAGTTGAGGTCCCAGACGCCCTCATCGCTCTGTTTACTCTCGATTGAAAGCTGTCTACGGTTGGTGAAAATGAATACATCCATATCACCAAAACAGTGACTCAGTTGGTAGAGCATTGGCCTTTGTAGTGTCCTTTTGCAAGACACTTAACCCACTTGCCTATAAGGAGTGGAGAACTTCTTCTTCTTGGTTGGAACAATATCTGAACTCTGAGAACATTGTAAAGCGCTTTTGGTGACCTTGTTCTGTAAAATGCTTCCTCTTCTTCTTCCCAAGCCTGGTCCCTAAACATCTTCTCAAGCCTCTTCTATTGTGCTCTTGTTGTTCATATTCTCTGACCCAACAAACCGGTATATTCCCATTCATTCTAAATTATTATTTTCTGTTATTTTATCAAGTCCAGTAAATTCTTTTTTTCTCATTAGCAGTGTTTATGTATTTATTTCCATTTGATAAACTGACAATTATGGCCAACCATGCCTAAAGTTGGCATTAATTAAAATGGAGCATCCGTTGATTGTCTCGTTTGTGCGTATTACATTTCAAAGCTGGCAACGCACACACACAGAACAGTTCAGAATGAATTGCTCAAATGAGTCGGCTGTTTGTTTTTTTTCTTCTGCTGGTTCATTATTGAATTATAGAGGACACAGTACAATTAGCATTAGCCTTTTTCTGAAAAGACTATTCTACAAATCCCTTTTAATTGCATGGATTTCCAAACATTTGCAATAGCATTATGTCACACAGTTAGAGTTTGGTTTGTTGAGTCTAGTTTATTTACATGACTGAATATGAACAATATGCTTTAAGACATGCTTCATATATATTATTTTATTCAATTACTCAACCAAATTCCAACCAATCAAAACCTTGACGTTAAGCTATATTACACAATTCCGAAATATTTTTTTTAAACATCATTAACACTCATTTAACGAGTGCATTCAAAAGTCTACAGAGGCTGAACTAGACTGGTCCAAAAACATATACCCCCCTCAGCATTGACAGCATCTGGAACGTAGCGATGGGCCAAGAGCCACTTTTGGACCATCCTGTAAAGACGTTTTCAACAGGAAAGAAGACGGCATACATAAGCATTGGGTAATACCGTTTCTGGGTACACCCCCACCGGATACGAGTGGGATTGCCCCCACTGGCAACAACTTGACAGCATACACTTTTGAATCTCCCTCGAAGGCCTATCAATACGCTTGTGAATGTGATTGAATTTGTCAGTAAATAAACAATATTCCTTACTCAACGAAACTGTGGGTAAACATAAACAGGAAATCAGCACAGCCGTGAAACAAGGAAAGAGAAAAGCGGCGTACACATCTGAAATAATAAAAGTGGAAATATACGAGCGCCTTTCCCTTAATGGAAGCCCCCACCATCGCTCAGCACCGTGGTCCCCCCCCCCCCTACCCTCCCCCCAAGGCTCTGTCAGGCTGAATACACCATATGTTTATCTGGAGCTTTTCCCACTGTGGCACCGATATGGCACACATTTGGTACTCGCCTCATCTTTTCCATAAACCAAACCAATGCTGCACGGAGAAATACATCATTTTAGTGTCGGGATCATATATTTTTGAGATTGAACTGTGTTTGTGAAGTAACTTGACATGTCAGACAATCCAAGCCTGTTATCATGACCTCTGACTAACTAAATACACATCTAAATTCTCATTTCAGAACTTGAGTATGGCGTCCATTTTGAGTGTTTTTTCCAGTCTTTGTAGTTGCCGTGAATTTTGCCAATGTCCTAAACATTTTTGTGGTTGAAGACATGTCCACCATACAGCACAAGAGAACAATAAATTAGTCATTAGACATTAATCAGTCATTTTTATTTTCTGTGTCGCAATCCGAGCTGCCACCCAATTGTCATAGTTACAGCCAGGCTTCAGGGTTAAGGGTTTTAGTGTCTTGCCCAGAGACACAACGACAGCAGTGGGAGTAGATGAAGTTGGTCTTACGGGCGGTACCAGATCCATACCATATATTGATTTCAGATTTTAACTATACATTTTTTAACGTCCCAAAGAAAATGTGTCTTGGACTCACACTGTTGGAATTCCCACAGACAAGAGATCCACTCAGAAAGGCCCCGTTCCGACCAGGATTTGAACCCAGGACCTTCTTGCTGCCCAGGCGCTCTGTAGCGGTGGCCGGAAGGGAGAAGCTCAGACGGTGATGAGCCAACACTGTTATCCAATGAACTGAGTCCTCAAAAATTTGGCCATTGTCGAATACGAAAACGTTATGCGAAAAACAAACCACCTACAGCCAATTTAGGGTCAAACTTTTGAACTTGTCTGAAATCTTCGCATCAATAAATCCTAGATCCTAATCACAGCCTATTTGTCTGTGCGGGCGTTGGAGACTCCTGTTTGTGTCTTAAATGTTTGCAGCCTGTCGGTTTGATATTGTGCTGTTGAAACGAAAATCCCATGGCTCCGAGGTGCGGCAGCCTCCTCACCCCGAGTAACTTTGCACACGTCACAACACATATTTTACACTTCACACGTTTTATTTGGGACTTTGTTTATTTTGCAGCCGGCGGTGAAGTGACGGAGGCATGTTTTTGTCAACCCGAATCTATGGTTAAGTTTATGCAAGAGGACAATAGGGTTAACTATGGATAGAGAACAATTCATTTTTATGTTATTGTTATGCTTTTTTCTGTATTTTTTCTCTATTAGTCATTCTATCAGGCATTGAGTTGTATGCATAGACTGTATATAGATGGACATTGCTAACATGCTAGCTCAAAGTTCGCTCTGGCTCCTCTTGACTTAAATTGACAAGTAAACTCCCTGTAATCCTGATGTTTGTACATGTTTTCTATACATCCAGATACGAGCCACATACGGATTGACCAATCAGATGTCTACATTTGCTAAGGAAACAACAGCTTTCATTAGCAACCATTTCAGCAACATGTCTGCTCCTGCTACAACCCTACGTAAGCTAACCCTGTCCAAACATATGCCCATATAAGGAAATTGGCTCCAGCTAGCTTTTGGTCTAATCAGTATCTTCCGCATTATGGCTAACATTACTCCTAAAATACTATTGTCATAAGTTACCTAGCAAAAATGATTAAGATTAAGTATAGCAACAATGACAAGAGGTATTTTAGTAACACAATATCAACAACTCCAAAGAAATTCAGTTGGAGGTAAAGTTATGATGCAGATGATGATGAAGATGATGCAGTTGGGCCATTCTTTAAAAAGCCAAAATATTCAATAAATAAATAAATAAAGGTTGAAAATGTAATAACATCACTTGACATTTTTTTTATTCTATCTCGATGCAATCTCCGGCATGTCCTGTGTCATGTTTACATTGAACTTTAGCAGGACACAGTTTATCAGCGTCACATTTGTGTATATAGAGCTGACATTTCACCGCCCTGGTCACATCCCACTGCTCCTTATTTACACCTGTGCCATTTACACAAATGCCAATAGTTGTGTTTGTGAAAATATCATTTTACAGACCACAACACGTCGTCGAGTTTGCAAACCTCCTCAGGCTTTTGCACTCAAACTTCTGACAAGCCTGTAGGAAAACCTTCACTATAACTTACTTTAATACTTTTTCTTTACCAAACCAGACATTTAACCATATTGTGCCCTTGTTATAACAAATTCAATGTCATAAAATGTCCTTTTATATCGCATAACCTTACCTGCCAGATTCAGTCAGACCTCTGAAGCTAAGTAGGGCAGGGCCTGGTTAGTATTGTGATGAGAGACCTGTGGGAACACCAGGTGCCAGGGTTTAGCTGCCAATATGTGGGGCGGCTGCGGTTGTAAAGTGCCAATTCGTCGTTGTGTCCTTAGGCAAGACACTTCACCCACATTAGAATGAGTCTGGTGTGTGTAAATGGTTGGTGGTTCACATGTATTTTTGGCCCCTATCAGATTTTTAAATAATATTTTTCAGACAGAAGAAAATCCTCAAATTGTAGAGAATTGCTTAAGATAACTTGAAGACGAGAACAGCATTTGGCCTGATTCGTTCACAACATTTTACGTCAGATCCTTTATGCTGAGGCAAACAAAATGTATTCCAATTTTATTTTTTTTTTTAAGGTAAAAAGGTTATTCATTCATAATAATGTTAGAAAAAGCTGTGTCCTAATGGACACATGCACTGATCCAATCTTTCATCACGTCACCATAATCTCTCTCACTAATCACCGTTGTGTCGATACCTCAGCAGGAGTCACAGCAGATCCCAGTCCGCTGTTTCACTCATACATTTGCTATTTTCACTTCCATATGAGACCTTTCCAAATAAAGCCGTGCCAATATGTCTGCTCCCTGTGCTGCATAGGATTTCCCCATTTGCATTTTGACAGCTGTACCATCTCTTCCATGAGGCAACACCCGCAGCCTCATTCCACATGACACCAGTCGAGATGACTCCCACCGCTGCATTATTAGTGCTCTGTGATTTTGTTTTCATTCAATTGTATCCGCAGACTATTGTCCTACCCCATGCCGTGAATAATTATTATATTTGTCACAGCACATTTCTGTAATACCCTCATGAATTCTTTAACGTTCGGTTTATTTTATATTATTGTGTCTAATGAAGTGTTGTGAAACACTTTGTAAAGTCTGTGTATGGATAAAATATTATTACAATAATGTATGAAATTATTATTAGGCTGTTGTTATCATTTTTATAATCTGAAGCAGTTGTTGTTTCGTGCTTTACGATTGTTATTTTTCATTGGGCATGTTACTCCAGTTCTGTGTACAAGTTTTTCACTGATTCAGAGAAAAGGCCCAGACCAAGCAGACTGTGCATAAATCTATCGGAGAAGGCTAATTTTGGAAGAATTGGCCTTCTCCGATAGATTTTTATTTACGTTTACGTTATTAGAGCATTGAGGGTTTCACACTGGACCAGAGCTCGGAAGGCGACTCGAATCAGACGCTGCAGAAATCCACCAGAGAAAAGGTACACCACCGGAAAAACACCTCAATGAAACAGGCGCAGGGTTCTGATTGTGTGTCCTTAATGAATAAAAACATAAAAGAGCACATACTTGTCTCCACGGAGATAGTTTTCTATTCAAGTTTTGAGGAGGTAAAAATACATCATGAGTAATATCTTCTGTCATCCTAAAATGACATTGATGTGGTTCTGTTTTCGTAACTCTAATCTACTCCTTTGTCATATCTACTTTTTCAGGATTTTTCTTTTTGACATAACTAATATTTTGTGTATAGGAATCTATGAAGACTATTTTGGGCTTATAGCAAAATCAATAAGGCTTGAGTTATCAAATCCACCTTGTGTTGGGACAGTCTGCCAAAGGAGCGGGTGCAGGGGCGGGAATCGATCCAGAGATATTACTTCATTTAACAGGCGCCATAAATATCTGCGATATGATGTTAACCTGCAGAAGTTCAGAGAGGACAAGGAGAGGACGAGGAGACGACGAGGAGACGACAAGGAGACAACAAGGAGACAACAAGGAGAGGACGAGGAGACGACAAGGAGACGACGAGGAGACGACAAGGAGACAACAAGGAGACAACAAGGAGAGGACGAGGAGACGACAAGGAGACGACGAGGAGACGACAAGGTGACAACAAGGAGAGGACAAGGAGAGGACGAGGAGAGGATAAGGAGAGGACAAGGAGAGGACCGGGAGAGGACAAGGAGAGGACAAGGAGAGGACAAGGAGAGGACCGGGAGAGGACAAGGAGACAACAAGGAGACGACAAGGAGACGACAAGGAGACGACAAGGAGACGACAAGGAGATGACAAGGAGAGGACAAGGAGACGACAAGGAGAGGACAAGGAGACGACAAGGAGAGGACAAGGAGACGACAAGGAGACGACGAGGAGAGGACGAGGAGAGGACAAGGAGACGACAAGGAGACGACAAGGAGACGATAAGGAGACGACGAGGAGAGGACGAGGAGAGGACAAGGAGACAACAAGGAGACGACAAGGAGACGACAAGGAGACGACAAGGAGAGGACGAGGAGAGGACAAGGAGACGACAAGGAGACGACAAGGAGACGACCCAGGAGGGGACAGGAGACGATAAGGAGGGGACAAGGAGACGACAAGGAGACGACAAGGAGGGGACAGGAGACGACAAGGAGGGGACAGAAGATGACAAGGAGACGATAAGGAGACGACAACGAGGGGACAGGAGACAATAAGGAGGGGACAAGGAGACGACAAGGAGGGGACAGGAGACGACAAGGAGACAATAAGGAGACGACAAGGAGACAACAAGGAGGGGACAGGAGACAATAAGGAGGGGACAAGAAGACGGCAAGGAGGGGACAGGAGACGACAAGGAGACGACAAGGAGGGGACAGGAGACGACAAGGAGACGATAAGGAGGGGACAAGGAGAAGACAAGGAGAGGACAAGGAGGGGACAAGGAGAGGACAAGGAGAGGACAAGGAGAGGACAAGGAGACGACAAGGAGAGGACAAGGAGACGACAAGGAGAGGACGAGGAGACGACGAGGAGAGGACGAGGAGAGGACAAGGAGACGACAAGGAGACAACAAGGAGAGGACGAGGAGAGGACAAGGAGAGGACGAGGAGACGACAAGGAGACGACAAGGAGACGACAAGGAGACGATAAGGAGGGGACAAGGAGACGACAAGGAGACGACAAGGAGAGGACAAGGAGGGGACAGGACACCTCAAGGATACAATAAGGAGACGACAAGGAGACAACAAGGAGACGACAAGGAGGGGACAGGAGACGACAAGGAGAGGACAAGGAGGGGACAGGAGACGACAAGGAGACAATAAGGAGGGGACAAGGAGAAGACAAGGAGACGACAAGGAGAGGACAAGGAGACGACAAAGAGACGACAAAGGAGAGGACAAGGAGACGACAAGGAGAGGATAAGGAGACGACAAGGCGACGACAAGGAGACGACAAGGAGACAACAAGGAGAGGACAAGGAGACGACAAGGAGACGACAAGGAGACAACAAGGAGACGACAAGGAGACGACAAGGAGACACCAAGGAGACGACAAGGAGACGACAAGGAGACAACAAGGAGACAACAAGGAGACGACAAGGAGATGACACGGAGGGGGCAGGAGACGACAAGGAGACGACAAGGAGGGGACAGGAGACGACAAGGAGACGACAAGGAGACGACAAGGAGACGATAAGGAGGGGACAGGAGATGATAAGGAGGGGACAAGGAGAGGACAAGGAGACGATAAGGAGACGATAAGGAGACGATAAGGAGAGGACATGTTCACTTTTACCGGATGAACTGGAAACAGGACCTGGCTCCAAACCCACAACCTTCAGGTCTGTGAGATGTGTTTGTTTGGCATCGATCAGAGACTCGCACTGGGTTCTAAACATTATAAAAACTGTTTCATACCAAAACTTTTGCAGTTTGTTTGTTGACCCAGTATCAAAGATTGTAGGAGGCTGGTTGAGATTAGGGCGGAGTGTAAGTCTGGTTTATTATCAAAGCTGTTTCGTAAATAAAAACTTTAATAAGATAAAAAAATATAAAATCAGAATTATGTTTTTATTCTGCCATTGTAAGTATTAGGAAGTCACAAATCAAGAATTCCATTTGGTTCATGGTGCCACAAAGTTATTGAGTAAATATTTTTTCAATATATATATGTAAAAGTAAGCATTGATATCAAATAAAATAAAAATAATGCATGAATACACGTCCTGTAACCAGAGGAATAATATTAAAGACCTTATGACGGGTTTGATTTATTTAGAAATACAGTTTTAATACCATTTTATATTAGAAGAGAACTACTAAAGGTTTCAAAATCAGTTGTTGTTTTTTTTGTCTGATCCCCCCAAATCGAAATAACCCCATAGCAACGCCCTTAGAAACGAAAAAACTTCACAGCCCTTGGTGACGTCAGAGTGGGTACGTTTCAACGCTGTAAGTTTTGGTATTCGTTCTTTTTTCGCGGATATTCAAGATGACAAGGTCGTGTACAGCGAGTCTGAGATAAATACTAGAATGTCGCATTTAGTTGTCACTGAGATAGTCCAGTGGTTGTGTCGATAGACTGTCAATCCAGATACTTGGGTTCAAATCCCACCTTGGACACATTTTCACTCTCAAAACGGCAATTTATGTGTAGTGAGCAATTGTCACCTGTAGAGTGCAGTATTGTGTTGGGCATCAGTGGAGAGAAGAGAGAAAAGGCAGTCCTGTGGCATAGATCCATGGTTTTCAATGCATGGGCGTTACCCGCTATGACGTCACACACAGGTTAGAGCATAGACAACTTAAATTCATGAAAAACACGTGCTTTTTATAAAATATAGGATTTTTTTTGCCGGAATCTCTTTCAAATTGACATTGTCATGCAATTTTGATATCCACTTTTTTTTTTTTTTAACCCGTCATAAGGTCTTTAAAGAAACTTGTGATGAAGACCCATAAGAGTAAATATGAGACACTTTGACCGAGCGACTTTAGCTGAAAGAACTTTGTGTTGCATTTTTGTATTTCCAAAACCTGTGTGAAATAATAATGACACAGAAATCTACTGAACTACAAACAGAAAAAGTCACAACGTCAGGAAGACCATCAACGTACATGAGCTCTTCCAAAACTAAATGCCATCACATTGACTGCTCTGGGGGTTCTAACCCTTCATGGTCCCAGAGTCAGGACTAAACATGGGGAGGCTGCATTTCTGATTCATGCTGATCTGGAACAGTCATACTGAAAATGTGAGACAGGCTTCTTCTCTGCATTAAAAAAAAAAATCCAGTTTAAAAACAGTTCTGTTTAGGTGTTCATACAACTGAGGGATTTTATGTTTTTATCTTTCTTTATCAGAATCAGAATCAGAATCAGAATCATTTTTATTGCCAACGTAAGTAACGGGAGGTCACAGACTTGGAAATTGCTTTGGCTCAGTGCAACAGCGTTGCCAGATGCATTTTTTTTTTTAAATATTGTGGGAAAACGTCCCTAAACCCTAAAAGTATCAAGTTATCATGTGTTTTCAAATAGTAATGGAATTGACCAGATGTTATAGTCTACAAAAATTAGTAAAACATATTTTGAAGTGGACCGATAAAAATGAACCAAGGCTGGATTGGCTGAACCAATGGGATTCGTTCATCTCCAACGAACCAATGGGATGTGTTTATCCCTCCACCCTCTTCCTGTTTCTCCCGAGAGTTATCGGATTATTTTCTAAAACCTAAAATGGCTGAACAGAAAATACCAATTTCATGTTTGCTCCACTCAATGCTGGATGTTTGGTTTGGTGGAGAAGGAGGGGAGGGGAGGAGGGAGGGATTTGGTGGAGAGGGAGGGGAGGGGGGAGTGGTTTCCAGTTTGTGCTACGGCTAAGCTAACAACATCGCTAACTGCATCTTTAAAGAACTGTGATTATTTCTTTTTTTCAACAATAAAGTCAAATCTCCCTCATAACTCAGACATACACATAATTGTTCTCTCTGGACTGAACTTCCACCAATGAGAAAGCAGCATTAATCACAGGGCGGCTGCGGCTGCTGCCTGTCAAACAGCCCTGTCACACGCCCGTCACGCAAAATAGACGTGCTCACTAAATAAAGCAGACATTTTTGTGACACGATCAGAAGAATGAATCAACGAGCACAATGCAGGGAACACAAGCTTCTTCATAGAGACCAGCCCATCAGAAGGAGCAATGCATCATGGTCCGGGGGAGTGGCAGCGCTAACTGGATGTCATTAGGTAAATAAGTGTATAATCACAGTGAGTAATTGACAGAAGTGGGACATTAATATCAGAAAGACTGCACCGGAAAAACAGCCTCATGGAAATCTGCACTGATGCTGTGTTTAATGTTTTACAAAAGGACAACAGTTTCAGTTTTGGTTTTGAGTCTTGAGTGGATAGTGCTCGATTAGCATCAAGAAGGTCCTGGGTTCGAATCCCGGTCGGAACAGGGCCTTTCTGAGCAGAGTTTGTATAGTCTTCCTGTGTCAGCGTAGGTTCCCTCCAGGTGCTCCGCTTTCCCCTATGACTCAAAACATGCACAATGGTTGGTGTTTGGTCGGAGGCTTTGGTGGTCCAGAGTGTTTGACGTCTCGCTTCCGTCATCCCCGTGTGAGGGAAGAATGGAAACATATCTCAACTCTGAACATTGTAAAAGCCCTTTGAGTGACATTGGTCTGTAAAAATGCGGTTTAAAGATTACTTACTTAATAACATTACTGGGTTCTCAACCTAAAATCCGCAAACCAGAAACTTGGGCATCCTGTTCTTTACCCACTAACTTTCGATTCAGTTCAATTTAGCTTTTGTATAGCCCTAAATCACAACAGGAGTTATCTCGGAGGGGTTTACAAAGCTGTCGATTCTCCAACACAGATCAGAGAAACAGTTCAATCACAAGAAATGCATTGATAAAAACAGTTATTGAGCCGTTGATCCACACGGGGAGATTGAGCAATGTCCTGCAGGTGGTGAGTCCACAGGAGCTGAGATCTTTCAGTGGGGGCTTCAGGCAAAGTGGGGTTAAGTGTCTTGCCCATGGACACAACGACAGCAGTCATCAGTGGGAGTCGTATTTCAAATGCACGATTTTAAAACCGCCGCCTGTTTGTCTCATAAAAAATATCCATATGTTCCTTTTCCATCAACAATAAACTAAAAACTATGCGTATTCAACGTATAATGAGATTGTGTTGAATATTTCTAAACAAGCACATATAGAAAAGCGATCTCTCCACCTCATTATGCATCTTTAACATATATTCATTTAGATCTTGCTGTATAAAAAGCAGTCTAAAACCTAAAAAAACCCGCACAGACGCTACACGGTTCATCAAAAACAACTTCAAACTCGTACCTTCTGAGCGTTTCTTGTTCTTTGCGACTTCTTCTCTTTGACTAAATGATGAGTGCTGTCTGGATGCCTCTGAAGGAGCTATTTTCAGTGCTCTATATTCGTGGCTTTCTAAAGCAGATGTGCACGCGGCACCTGTGGCTCAGTGGGAGACTCGGTGGGTGTAGTGGAATCTAGCGTTGCAAATCAAATCATTTCTCTTTCATTTTAAAGCAGTGCACTCTGGCACGAGGCGGCGGCGGCTCCAGCATCACCGGCACCTGCTTCTTTACTCACCAAACTTTCCCTCTTTGCAAATAGCATCCAAACAGAATATAGGGCACATGGAACTTCTCACTGATGGAGGAGAGAGCAGGTTTTTCACTGGGATTGGTTTCTTTTTATGGTATATTTCATGGAGAGAGAGAGAGAGAAAAAATAGCAGGATTAGTTTAACCCTGGAACGCCCATTGGAGTCAATTTGACGGCTCTACGTCTGTGACTCAGCATACAGTATGTAAATGTTCTGGTCTTTGACTCAGACTTTTTCCGTCTCTGTGTAGATTATTTCTATGTCATCTTTATTCAATTATTAAATTAAGAAATGTTTATACTGTTATTATTATTATTATTATTATTCATTTATTTAGTTATCAATTTATTATGTTGAGCTTCTCTGCCCATCACAAGGGAAAGGGGATATGGGGACCAAAAGGGGGATAAAAAGTCAAGCGTGATGCATGCTAATCAGTGCAAAATACAAAAATACATTGTCAAATACATTGTCATACTTGAATAAAAAAATTGATCACAAAAAAAGAAATGTTTTTACTTTTGAAAACAGAGTAGCTCTACCTTTTCCTCCCAGAGTAAAGCCAGTACTAGTTATTTAATTATCGACAAATGTATGCAATTTGATCACTTCTGACTTTATTGATCCCTGTAGAAGAAATGCAGGTGTCCAGTAGCAGCAGAAACACATCCATCCAAACAAAACAAAACAAATACTGTATTGATGATTCTAAAAATATCTCACAACAGTAGTGAGATGCTAAATGTGTTGTTCGCATTTTTCAAAAAGTTAGCCTTCCTCTCTGCTCTGGTCTGGACCAGTGAAAAACCATGAACATTATAAAAAAGTAAGAAAACTAACAATTGTAAAACACAAAACAACAACTATTTCAGAGCTACTTTGTACTTGCAGCCGTGTCGAGAACATTAAAAAGTAACAAAAGCGTTTGATGTTAGAACGTATGTGTGTGTTCTGTTAATTTAATGTAAACACATTTCTAAAAGCCTATACTGGTTTCAAGGAAGCCCCAGGAAGAAAAACCACTGCACCTTGGTGTTTAGTTTAGTTTATATTAGGCCATTTTTAAGTTAAAACCAATAGAAAACCTCATGTCCAAGAGAGACCTGGCAAAGTGGCAAGGATCCAAACATCAACAATATGTCACACTCTCTTCTGAGCTAGACTAACTTTGAATTTCCCAATGAGACTTTTCCAGCTCGTCCGATGTTGCTGCAGCTGCTTTATGTCCTGCTGTTTCTCTGCACAACAAAGCTTCTCTAGAGCGGCGTTCGTCTGCTGTGTTTTGCCCCAAACCTGTGTTTTGTCTCCTGTCTGGGGCGGCGTCCTGCAGCAAATGTCACCCGAACAGATGAGTTTTCCTGAGGTCCCACCGCGAGAGCGACAGGAGGGTCAAGCGTGTCGTAATGATGAAAGGTGTCACTATGGCCCGAACAGAACCACACATGAGACTGAGGCTGAGAGTTACAGAGGAGAGAGAGCGGTCAGAGATCATGAGACTGAGGCTGAGAGTTACAGAGGAGAGAGAGCGGTCAGAGATCATGAGACTGAGGCTGAGAGTTACAGAGGAGAGAGAGCGGTCAGAGATCATGAGACTGAGGCTGAGAGTTACAGAGGAGAGAGAGCGGTCAGAGATCATGAGACTGAGGCTGAGAGTTACAGAGGAGAGAGAGCGGTCAGAGATCATGAGACTGAGGCTGAGAGTTACAGAGGAGAGAGAGCGGTCAGAGATCATGAGACTGAGGCTGAGAGTTACAGAGGAGAGAGAGCGGTCAGAGATCATGAGACTGAGGCTGAGAGTTACAGAGGAGAGAGAGTGGTCAGAGATCATGAGACTGAGGCTGAGAGTTACAGAGGAGAGAGAGCGGTCAGAGATCATTTGGCTGAGAGTTACAGAGGAGAGAGAGCGGTCAGAGATCATGAGACTGAGGCTGAGAGTTACAGAGGAGAGAGAGCGGTCAGAGATCATGAGACTGAGGCTGAGAGTTACAGAGGAGAGAGAGCGGTCAGAAATCATGAGGCTGAGGCTGAGAGTTACAGAGGAAAGAGAGCGGTCAGAGATCATGAGACTGAGGCTGAGAGTTACAGAGGAGAGAGAGTGGTCAGAGATCATGAGACTGAGAGCTACAGAGGAGAGAGAGCGGTCAGAGATCATGAGGCTGAGAGTTACAGAGGAGAGAGAGCGGTCAGAGATCATGAGACTGAGGCTGAGAGTTACAGAGGAGAGAGAGCGGTCAGAGATCATGAGACTGAGGCTGAGAGTTACAGAGGAGAGAGAGCGGTCAGAAATCATGAGGCTGAGGCTGAGAGTTACAGAGGAAAGAGAGCGGTCAGAGATCATGAGACTGAGGCTGAGAGTTACAGAGGAGAGAGAGTGGTCAGAGATCATGAGACTGAGAGCTACAGAGGAGAGAGAGCGGTCAGAGATCATGAGGCTGAGAGTTACAGAGGAGAGAGAGCGGTCAGAGATCATGAGACTGAGGCTGAGAGTTACAGAGGAGAGAGAGCGGTCAGAGATCATGAGACTGAGGCTGAGAGTTACAGAGGAGAGAGAGCGGTCAGAGATCATGAGACTGAGGCTGAGAGTTACAGAGGAGAGAGAGTGGTCAGAGATCATGAGACTGAGGCTAAGAGTTACAGAGGAGAGAGAGCGGTCAGAGATCATTTGGCTGAGAGTTACAGAGGAGAGAGAGCGGTCAGAGATCATGAGACTGAGGCTGAGAGTTACAGAGGGAGAGAGAGCGGTCAGAAATCATGAGGCTGAGGCTGAGAGTTACAGAGGAAAGAGAGCGGTCAGAGATCATGAGACTGAGGCTGAGAGTTACAGAGGAGAGAGAGTGGTCAGAGATCATGAGACTGAGAGCTACAGAGGAGAGAGAGCGGTCAGAGATCATGAGGCTGAGAGTTACAGAGGAGAGAGAGCGGTCAGAGATCATGAGACTGAGGCTGAGAGCTACAGAGGAGAGAGAGCGGTCGAAGATGCTGCTGTCATCACTGAAACAACATGATGTCTTTGAGCAAGACATCGAGACAAGAGCATTTCAGATACAAGTGTTTGTCCTAGTTTCATTCTCTATGTTTTGAGTTATTTTCTCAATTATAAAGAGACAATGTGCACACACAGAAGACACAAAAAAACTGTTGTTGTGTCCTTAGGCAAGACACTTCACCCACATTTCCTAGATTATTGCCTTATAGATTATTGTTATTATTATCAACAAACAATAAGCACACATTTCAAACACACACAGCTGCATTCCAAACACTTAAACAATGGGAACAATACAGACACCAGCATCGGGTCCTAGAGTCAGGGGCCGACATTCAGGAGAGACAAAACGACACAAGCCCCGGTAATCCAAGATGGCGCCCTTTTCCAACGGCTTGTGCTCAGTAGCGCATGGAGACAGCATTCTGTGGAACGTTCCTTGCAACAAAAAACTTTAAGAAGGTCAGGTTTATTGAGCTGGAACCTTCTTTACTGAGGCTGAGAATAGGAGTCACGAAGAGCACTCGGCCAATTATTCAAACCACAAAGCATCTGCATTTCACCACTTGTATTATCCTATGTCTCCAGGCCGTTGTGTTGTAGAAGAATGTAATGTCAGAGTAATGAAACACACTTACGTCCATATACCTGTCTATTGTGTGTATTTATATATTTGAATTGTATTACTATTTATATGCATATCTTAAAGCTGCACTAACTCACTTTGTGACATTTTCGAATGTGAGCGCTGGCCTCGCTCTTTCTGCTCCCCCTCCCCGCACCCACGAAGCTATCGCCCCCCACTACCCCCCTCTCCCTCAGCCTGTGCTTATGTGTTTACGAAGCTCACGTCTCACAATATGGATCGCACATTTGAACGTGGATGGAGTAAGCAGTAACTGGTAACGAAGACTTCAGGTTAGCCTCCGCCGCTTGTTTACCTCAGCTGTCGGTGCTAACAAGAGACCTCTAGCTTTTCTCAAGAAAGTGGGGGCCAGTAGTCTGCTGTGATTGGTCACAATCTGGACCCAAAACACATTCTCTTTCTCGTTGCACGAAAACTCGATCTAAAATAAAATGACATGCCAGCACAAATCTGCGCTACTTATTCTTCAAAAGGACGTTTATCCCAATGCACTGCATGGATATGGATTGAATTTTCATAATGAATACAAAAATAAAGTCAGGTTATGCAGCTTTAATATATTTTTTGCTTATTACCAAAGACAATTCCTTGGTTTGTGACTCCCTACGTTACTTAAAATATATTTTGGTTCAAAGTTGGTTAAATGAAGACCATAGCTTTCAATATATTTCTTCAGTTGCTAAAAAATCGTCCAGTGACAGTCCACATCCAAACACTGAGTATTTCTTTCTCTCAATGATTTTTTAAAAAGAGAAACAGCTCAAACATGTAGAGAAATGTAGAGAAAGTCCTGTAAAGGGGCAGATTTATGTGACGACTGGTGCAGTGCAGTCAGCAGCTCAGTTTGCACAGGCAGCCTTTGCCTGCTTTGATTTAGATGCCGCAGACAACATTATATATGTATTCTATATTTGCATTTTATTCCACACCAGCAGCACACGCCTGACTCCTACATGAAGTACATGAATCTGAGCTGAGGCTGCGGTTTTTACACCATTTACAGCTTGTTTAGATGAGCACTTTCACTGGAGTCACTAATTCTAGTTGACTTCAACACGAGGACTCCCAGAGCAGTCATTTTAACTGCTCTCATTCAAACCCATAGAATTCGGAGAAAATTTTCCAAAACGTTTTGTTCTTCGACAAATGTGTTAAAAGTAAGTCATTTATACAAGATCATGATCGGTCTGTTGGGACCCACCCCTGCCCTCCCCTTCCCTGTTGTGTGTGTTTGTGTGCGAGGATGACTGTGAGTGTGTCCTTTGTTTTTGAGGCGTCTTATATTTTATAAAGTCATTTATAAGGTTTTCTTCATTTTTTTCCTTTACTCACGTTTACTGAGTGCTAAAACTGGTGAGTACAGTATAAATTAAAATGAAGTAAGATAAAGTCACAACAGTTTGTTAAAAGGTTGATGGGTGCTCATTTCAGAAGTAGAAGAACAAATATCATACACAATAACGACATAGAAATAATCTACAGAGACCGAGACAAAAAGCAGAGACAATAAAGCATCAGTTCTTGGAATAAAACTAAATGGCTTCGTCCCATCGGAAAAATCTTGTTATAGTTCTATAACAAGATTAGAAGCCATGGGCTCTCGTTTTTAGAAAAAAAATATCCGGTTTGTGCTTGTACGAGCCACACTGGATCATACACTGCACCTGTCCCACGGTGTAACATTGAAACATGCAGCTCAAAACTTCAGAGTCAGTGACTGTTCTTTGTGTTCCAGACTTCTAGTTTTTTACAAGTACAAATGACATTTCATACAATTTAATTTGACCTCCATGAACCACTCGTTATTTCTCTTATATATGTTTTTAGGCACCACAGAAAAAAAAGAAAAGAGAAAAATGAAGACGCACCTCCCTATAAGCCGCACCTCACTATAAGCCGCACCTCCCTATAAGCTGCACCTCACTATAAGCCGCACCTCGCTATAAGCCGCACCTCACTATAAGCTGCACCTCCCTATAAGCCGCACCTCGCTATAAGCCGCACTTCGCTATAAGCCGCACCTCGCTATAAGCTGCACCTCACTATAAGCCGCACCTCACTATAAGCCGCACCTCCACCTCGCTATAAGCCGCACCTCACTATAAGCCGCACCTCCACCTCGCTATAAGCCGCACCTCGCTATAAGCCGCACCTAGCTATAAGCCGAACCACGCTATAAGCCGCACCTCGCTATTAGCTGCACCTTGCTATAAGCCGCACCTCGCTATAAGTCGCACCTCGCTATAAGCCGCACCTCGCTATAAGCCACACCTCGCTATAAGCCGCACCTCACTATAAGCCGCACCTCCCTATAAGCCGCACCTCGCTATAAGCTGCATCTAACTATAAGCCGCACCTCACTATAAGCCGCACCTCACTATAAGCCGCAGCGTTCAAAGTGAGGGAAAAGAGCCGCTGCTTATTATAGTCTGGAATTACAGTGAACACCTTATATTTTATCATTTTTTTTGCAGGGTTTGTTTATATGGATGGACGTGTTTCTGGAGTTGGACACCTGCATCTCTCCTTCAGGTCATCAATTACGTTTCTATCTATCTATCGCTCTCTCTCTCTCTCGCCCTCTCTCGCTCTCGCTCTCTCTCTCTCTTGAGATCAAAACACTTTATACAGTATGTTTCTTAATTGCATCTTTTCTGCATTCACCTCACACAGAGCGCCTCCTTTCACCGTGGCGCCTGTGTCATGTCTCCCTGACGTCTGTATCTCGCTCTTTCCCGCCGCCTGGTGCCATTTGTTCCGTCCCTGATTCGCCCGGAGTGACATCCTTCTCAGCTTTGACATGTTTACCTCCGTTTTTGAGGAACACATTTTTTATGTTTTGTTGTTGCCATCTCTGTGGACTATGTGACAGCACCCAGGGGAGTCACGCCGCAACCTTCTCCGTCACCGCCTCGCCTGTCACATCTAAATCTACCGCTCGAGCAACCAATTAGCGTGTGGAGGTAAAGCTGCGGCGCGAGGACTGCAGACAAGGCCTCATTATTCCAAGGCTCTGTGTTGGGGTTCTGTGTCAACTCTGGTGGCCCTCTTTTCTCTATTCATCCTCTCTCTCTTCACGAATGTCTGACCCTCTGCACTGCAAAAAAATAAAAATAAACACATACTAGAGTATTTCTCCAAATCAAAGCAAACTTGTTTATATGGATTCACCGATCGCAAAGTGAACCAAAGTGACCAATCTGGTTTGATTTTTTTAAGTGAAATTTGATCAAATCTGTCAATGAGCTACTCCAATAAACAAGAGTACTTTTAAATAGTTTTAGAGTTAAAGTATCATGTAAGATTTTCATGTGAAGTCATCATTAAAGGGCCGTCAAATACTTCTTTAACTGATCACAGTAGTTCAGAGATCTTCGAATTTCTAAATTACTTTTCCAGCCCCTAAATCTTATTATCGTTTTCATTTCGATGTCCCGCCCTCCACCGTTTCACCAATCAGAAAGTCCGTGATCCGGGCGCCAGAACTCACCGCGTGGAGCTAATCTCACTGGTAAAGTACCATGTGGCGCAGAACTAAAAAAGGTCTCGTTATGATTCTCAAATCATTAACGACAAAACAAGGATTAAAACCAGGATTTCTATCTTTGTGAAAAAGGTGTTGGTTATAGATTTGTTGTTGACAAAACTCTTGTCTATTCAGCTGTTATGGTCCCAGCTGGATTCGTCTGCATATCTGGCAACCTGAGTCAGGGAGAGTGCAGTATTACTTTTGGCCATATTTTTACATATTCTGCTCCGTCATCATCACTACTTTCAATTTTGTTTTGTTATTATTATATGCTTTATTTAATTATATTATCAATTTTATTTAATAATAGATCCTGTTTGATGAGTGCAATCTGAGTGCTACTTTCTGCTATAACAATGACATTGAAATTTCCCCTCTGAATAATGGTCTATCTCATCTCAACTTAATTTAGTTTATTCAGTGGGGATTCCCAGTTGTATTTTTGGCATTTTGGGGTCACGTCCTGTATCGTTTTGAAACCCTTTGGACCTAGTCTCCTGGACAGTCAGTGTTTTTGAGGTGAGTGTCTTGCCCGAGGACTGAGAGAGCATTTTCTATTTGTGAATAAATGGAGCTGCCGTTCATAAAGTCACAGATTCAAGTCTGCAAATGACAAATACAGCTCAACAATCTCTTGAAAAGAGCAGTTCACAATATTTAGTTTTACTTTGTAACACTTTGTAACATCTGCGTCACAGACTTCACGAGACAGATGCTTTTAGAGTCGTAAATAAGCTTCCTGTATCTTGCATCTAGGCTCAAAACGTTTTATTCAGACTGGCTTTTAACACTTTTATCACGGTGACACTTTTTAAACTTTTTTAACTGTTTTGTTTTAATGCAT